CTCCTTGTAACTTGTAGAATGCTTTAATGCAGCAAATCTGAGCAGGAACATCCACTTCTAGAAGCTTCTGGTCACCCCACTGGTGGCCCCATTTGGTCTCTCAAGCCTTTGGCATCTGAGCAGGGTTGAGCAGCTGCCTATGCACCCAGGCCTCTTTCCAACCTGCCTGTGCACCCAGACCTCTTTCAGGTTTCAAGAGTGTTTAGGAAAAGTGTGGAGGGCATCTGTGCTCCAGGAATGTATGGCTCCATGGGGAGCTTTGTAGGAGTAGCTTTGCTGCAGGAGAGGGCTGTAGTGTGTGCAGCACTCAGGGTGAGGCAGAGCAGCAGAGCTGTTCTCCCCCGGTGACCCAGGAGCAGGTGGTCCCTCAGCACTGGGGATGTGGTGGGCACCTTTGTGCTGGAGTGTGTGTGGCGTGCGTGTTTGACAGCCCCACGTTGTTAAGATTTTCAGGCTCATGTTGGGTTTGTGCTCAAGGCTGGTGGGTGGCCCAAAGTCTTCTGGCTTGATTGCAGTGACATCTGTTTACACCAGTGGTTAATTAGGCCTGAAGACTGGCCATCTCTCTATTTTTCCCCACCGTTTCTCTGTTTTTTCTTGATTAGAACTATTCCCTCCTCAGCTCTAAAACAGAAGCTTTGGTTTTATCTGCAGATTTTTTTCCCCTTGATCCACTGGCCCTGATATGAGATGAATATCAGGACATCAGCATAGCCTCTCTTCAAAAAAGTAACCAAGTGTTCCAGAAAAGAATGACTTGCGCTTTTGATAGGGACTGCAGAGTGAGCGCTGAAAGGGAAAGAAAAGCAGCCTGAAATTGTTTAAAACTCAGCTCAGTGCAGAGTACAATTCACTGTGTTACAAGAAGCAGGATTGGAAAGGAGAGACTGTTTTAGGAGCCTGTGTGCCATACAGGCAGTGCCAGTGTGAACAGTCTGGCCTGGGCCAGGAATGAAGCACATCTTGCAAGGGATGCAGCCTGAAAGGGACTTGAAAAGGAACACAGAGTTTTATTAAAAGGCAAAAAGATGTAAGGAGATACACAGCAATGGTAGGCAGCCAGAACCTCTGTCAGAGGACAGTCTTTCAGCTGGAGCAAGGATGATGCACACCAACAGTCTCCAGAGGACTGGGAGTGCACAGGGAATTACAGAGGGAGGGAGTCATCTCCCTGCATGAGGAATGCAGCAAAACCTCCTCTGACTAAGCCAGCTAATGCACACTGCTTTTTTTTTCTTTCCTGATAATCCTGTTCCATAATATTTCCTTAATAATTTAGTATGTGAAGAGTAGCCCTTCTGAAAAACATCTAAATCACCAGATCTTACATTCAGATGAAACCTTGCTACCCCTGTCGTTCGCACACACTCAGGATTTTTATTTGGTGTGGCTGTTTGAGAGCTATCCTGGAGTTAAGAGTTGGGTTTTATTCCTTAATTACTTAATGAATTTACCATGCAGCACAACCCTTGGTACTGCCAAGCAATAGCTTCCTATTACTAGACTGTACAGGCCTGATCCTGCATTACCAAAGCCAGAAGCAGTGTTTGGGAACCGACATTTTCATCAAAATCTGTAGGAAGCTTAGAACAACTATACAAAAGGGGTTAGTTGCACTCAGAATATTGATTCATGAGCTTCCTCGTTTTTTGCATTGCTGTTCATTTTACCCAAAGAAGATCAACTGCCCAACTGGACATATAATATATGATACTGCATTAAAACTAAGGCTGCATTTGGTCATACTCATTAATTAAACTGATTTCTCCTGTAGGGTTTTTTTTTTCCTAGAGAACTAACCGAGAATGATAATTAAGCGTGTTATGCATTCTAGGGAACAGTGTTTCTCCTACTGCCACAAATGCCTTAAAGGAGAAAAATATGAACTAAAGGAGAAAATGAAGGTTGGGGGGGGAGAGCTAAAACTGGAGTGAGAAGGAGTGGATCATCAGGGTTTTTACTGACTCCTGTGCTTTAGGACACATGAGACAGCCATGTTAGAGTTGAACCAGCAGAAAAAGGAGAAAAAGCCATTGAAATCCCAAGGAAAGCTGCCCAGCTCCCAGGTGCAGCTCCCTCCCTGCTTGTGTACAGGTGCAGGCTGCAGTAATGCAGCACCCCAGTTTTTTACTGAGGAACTTGTTTTTATTTGTGGCTGAGCCTCACATGAGAAGGGCCCTACTCCTGGAGGTCAGTGCTGGGCCTGAAGAGAGCCTGCACGAGGTGTGAGCAGTGTTTCACCGTGCCTTTGCTTGCAGCATGCTTTCTCCTTACCCAGGAGAGCCTCGCTGCTCGGGTGGAAGGAGCAGCTCTGCTGTAGGCAGGCCCTTTGTCTGGCTTCTCCCAGGGTACCACTGCTGAGGGGGTCTCTATTTGTAAAAAGTTGTCTGCATTGGGGGCAGTGTTAGGTGTTTGCCTGCCAGCTTCTGCCTGCACCAAAGCAAAGACAGCCAGGGAGAAAATGAAGTTGTGTTGAACAATTACCTGATGAAATCTCATAGTGTTCATACATATTGCAATCAGAAAGGAAAAGGCCAAAGATTCAATTAGAATCATAGGAAGCAGTTCGCTCCCTCTATTTTTGAAATATGCAAGGGATGCCAACATTCCAGCACAAACTTTGCCACTCTTTCCTAATTAGCATCCGTGTTGATGGGCAGATTACCTGGCAGTCTGTAGTGTCTCTAATGAATTGATTTATGAAGTCCAGTGTCTGTTTCCCCCTTCCCAATCTTTGATTTCTGTTTGTTCATTTATTACCTTGTTCATTTATTTATCTTCAATGCAGGGGTGGTTTTTGAATGATTTTCATGAGACCTGGCCTCAATCAGACAGGCTTTGACCATCCTTGCTCAAAGACAGGGCTGCACTCAGGCTGTGCCTGTAGCCCACATCAGGTCGGTGCTGCTGCAGAAAGACACAGCTCAGCTCCTTCTCTTTTACTGTGTCATCTTCACATGTGAGCAGCTCACGGGCCTCTGTCAAGGCTAGGACTGCACAGCTAAACCTGTGCTACCGCTCCCTGGGAAGCCCATACATGCATGGTTCTGAAATGGGATGCATTTTGGGTGGCTCCTCCTTGCAGACGCTCAGACCGTTCCCCCTCCCGCTCCCGCAGGCTCTGGAAGCCTCTGCCGGCACACTTCCTAGCACGGCATTCCGTGCCTCCATTGCAGGCTGCTTCTCCTGCTTACTGAAGTGCTCAGCAAACTGCATGTGGGTGTCGCAGACATCCTCTGCTCGGGCTTCTCCAGAGCTGAGAACGGAGTTTCTTGGCCAGGAAGGTCTCCCTCAATCAGGTGCGGGGCCATGTGAGGAGCAGGCAGCCGCGGGATTATTCTCCTTGCCTAGCCCAGCCTCGTCCCGCCGCGCTGGAGCCCGGGCTGTGCGCGAAGCACGGGAAGGAGCTCTATTCGTATCGATTCGTATCGTGACCTATGCTCAGCTGGGAGTGCTTCTGAGTGTGGATGCAGGTTGTACTAGTTGTGTTCGGAGGCACAATCTGAGTTACAGCGTGACTGTAAACTCCTGCCAAGAAAGACTCGGGAGAGTTACAGTAGGAAACAGAAGGGGCGGTGAGCTTTCTCTTATGCCGGTGTAAAATTGGAGCAACCGAGCGAAGTCAGAAGCGTTTAAAACTCGAATGACACAGGCTCAGGCTTTTTACTGCCGACTGTAACATGGCAAGGGCTGTGCACATCGGGCTGGAGCCCAGCTGCTTATTTAGCAAATGTTTGTGGTTGTGCCTCTGGTGCCGGTGATAGCGCGCACACACCCAGGCGCGGGCACTGTAAACCTGCTGCGGACTTTGAGCTCCGGAAGGCAGCGCTGCTCGGCTGGGCGCATCCACGGCGCGATTGCGCAAGGCCAGGTCCCGCTGGGTTACAAATCTGCTGTAAAGGAGGGTGGAATGGGGCCCCGAAATTCAGTCAGTCTGGCATGCAAAAAAAAACCCCCAAACAACCCAGCCAACAGTGTGCAAGTATTGCAAATATTCTGTGTGGCTTTTGAGTAGGCAGAAGCTGACCTAGAAGTGATACCACCGAACAGGTATCACTCAGGCCCTAAAGAAGATGAACCTTTTCCTTTTATTTAGTGATTTTGTTGTGAAGCTGGTAATTTCAGGGAGAGACTTGTTTCCCCAGGCAGAAGGACCAAATTTCAGTGCCTTGCTCTGGAAAGTATCCAGCCAGGGAGATTCTGGTTTTAATGTTTGCCAGCTCCTGGGCAATTCGCAAATCACTCGTCAAAATCTAGTAAATGGCTCGCGAATTGCTTTGCAGATTGGTTTAGGGCTAACTCTGTGCCACAGATAAGGGATGAGAGGGCTTGGATCTCCTCAAAGGAATAGCGCGGGTGGAAAGGGAAAGGTGTGCTGAGGCCTCCAAACCTGCAAAATTAAATGTCAGTTTTTAGGTCTGATGTCCTTTCTTTTATTTTTAGTGAGTTCAGCAGAGTGCTCAAGTGCCAGTCCTGGTGTTTTAACATCAACGTGATGGGGCCTTTTCAATTCTAATTTTAAGAATCCATAAAATCAGCACTTAATCTCCTTTTATTTTGGCAGATTCACTGTTTTAATGGTTTGGTGTTGTTTTTCCTTTGTGGATTTTTGTCAGATACAGTTTCCAGAGCAAGGAAACCTTTCTTTTAAAGGTATCCTTTTCCTTTTCGGTTTTCTAACTGAAAATGGAACTTAGTTTCTAGTAAGACTATCATCTTGATTGATCACAAATCATTACAGACCGTTTTGAGCATAATACCTAAGTGAGTCGTGGTATTAATGACTAATAATCGCCTTTATATTGGGTCTTAAAGCTTTATTGTCCCGAAGTACAACCGGTTTAGTGGAACATGAAAGGCCGGAACGATCCGAGATGCCTGCTGGGGCTACAGCCAGTGCTGTAAGGTGTTTGAGTCGCCTTTAACAGCGCCGGCTGGGATTACAGCCCCTTTCAAAACTCAGTCATTGAGGTGACTTAAAATAATCATCTTCTTTCCAGATAGCGCCTGGTGCCGAGCGCTTCCCTCCTTCCCCCAAGTCTTCGCGCGCTCGAACATCTCCGTTTGGCCTCATTTTTGTGCTTCGGTGGTGTCTGCACAGCCCAAATTAGCAGCGAGGATTCCACGGACGGGGGCCGCCGCCTCCCTCGGCTCCCAGGTGAGATCCCGGGGCGGGGGGCGGCCGGCAGCGCTCCGGGCTTTCTCCGCATCCCCCCTGGCCCTCGCTGCGCTTGGCCGGGCCGGGGGCTCACCGGAGGTGCCGGGGGGACAATTTTGGGTTGTACCGGGACAATGCGGGGCCAGCCCCGCGCGGGGAGCAGGGCTGGCGGAGCCCCGTGCCCCGGCCGGGTCCCCGCCACCGGATAGCAGGGATACTTGTCATATTTGCGGTCGGGGCGCGCTGGCACCCGCCTTTGTGCCGGCCCGGCGCTCCCCGGGGAAGCCGCGGCGGCGGCGGGGGCCGGGGCACGCGTGGGCAGCGCGGGGAGCCGGAGCGGGGGAGGAGGAGGAGAAGGGGGAGGAGGAGCAGGAGCAGCGGCAGCAGCCGCGGGGGTTGGGGGGGCGGGGGAGGAAGGCCGGGGCCGAGGCGGAGCTTTGACGCGGGCCGGAGGGTGAGGAGCTCGCCGGAGCCGCCCCTGTCGTCAGTGCTGGCGGCAAGTCCTGGGAGCCGGGGCTGGTGGTGCCTCCTCCTTCTCCTCCTTCCTCTCCTCCTCCTCCATTGTATAATGCTGCGTGATCGCAGCCGCCGGGGCAGAGCGGAGGCTTAAATCCTCACGCCGCCTGCTCCTGCCTCCTCCTCCTCCTTTCCTCCTCCTCCTCCTTTCCTCCTCCTCCGCATCCCACCCGGCCCCTCCCCGGAGCGGCGCGGCGAGGAGCGACATATGGAGCTGCTCTAGGGCGAGAGTTTCCGACCTCCCCCTCTCCATGCTTTAGTTCTCAGGTGGAGCTGCATGTGGTGAGTGGGGCTGGGGGGCTGCGGGGCATCGGGGTGGGGGGGGGGGGGGCAGGGGGCGGCGACACTCCTCCACCCCCTCGGGCTTTGCGAGTCATCGGGGCTTGTTTTATCTCTACCTTTAAATTGGTGCCCGGGCAGAGGAGCCCGGGGCGGGGATCCTCCCCCTCTCCTCCGGGGAGGGTGGGGGGGTTCGTGCTGAGATGAGCAGAGGAGGGAGAGCGGCGAAGTTGACCTTAAAATACGCCCCCTCCCCCGCCGGTGCGGGGGGATCCCGAGCCGGAGCAGGTGCGGGGAGCCGGAATGTACTTTCCTACCGAGGTGGCTGTGCCGGCCCCGGTAGCGCGGCCGCTTGTGCTCCCCGGAGCCGGGCTCCCTCCGACGCCAGGAAAGCCGCGGCACCCCGGTAAGTTCGGTGTGCGCCCCGGAGCCCCTGGAGCCGGGGGCTGCAGCCCGGCTCCGTTCTCCCAGCAAGAGCGGGGGATTCAGGGAGTGCCGAGAAGTGCGGGCTGTAGTGCCGGGGGAGCTGAAAGGGCCTGGGGGAGACTTTCACTCCGCTGTAGCAAAGCTGACATATGGCTGGGCAGGACCCGGCTGGCCCCGCTGCCCGGCCCTTTTCAGGGGTTGGTGTTAAGGGCTGGGGATTAGCCTGTCTTTTCCCTGAGCAATAGCGCGCATGGGTCTTCCTTGGGAGCACCGCCAGCGCGGAGACACAGAGGCGTCTGGGGGCGATTTTGTGAGTAAGGTGGTGCATCTTTTGGAAGAGACGGCAAAAATGTGTATTTATTAGGATTTTCTTCGGGGTGGATGAACACTTGAAGAAAAATCCTTTTGTGGTGCCACTTTGATTTGGAGCGTTGGCTGCTTTATTCACATCAGGATCTGGAAAAATAAGTTATTCCTAAGCATGAAAATAGAAGTACAGTTACCTGCTGTCATTTCTTGCATTTTGTGAAGCACTGCTGGAAAAGCCAGGGCCACTTTAGTTGGAAGTCTGTGGAGAGGCTTGTGTGCTGTCCAGTGGGCCCCTCGGTGGCTGATTTACAGCTGTGGGTCAGCTGCTGGTGTAAAATAAAGCGAATCTGCCCATTTTATCTCCATCCGGGGGTGAGGGGCTGTCAGCTTCTTCAGCCGAACTTCAGTGCAGCACGCCAGAGCTGTTGCGTGTGGCAGCGTGTGCTCAGACACATCCGAGGCTCTCGGGAGCAGGGAAATCCAGGCTTTTTCATCTAGTGCCTGGTGCAGTCATCAGGGTGACTCTCGCTGCCGTCAGTGAGTGCTGGATTTTGCCACTCTAGAATGCACTATTGCTCAAACAGCGGTGGGAGAGGGCTTGGCTGCCCCAAACACCAGTTTTATGTGTGTGTCTCTCAAATGAGTGAGCACTTGCAATGTGTGTGAGTTCAAACAACGCTTTCTAGCTTTTTTAATTCTGATCATTTTAGGCATGCATGGGCACAAGTGAAGGTTCCTGTGTCTTATGGACTTCTCACAGGGTACAAAATTGACAGAGGCACTTCAGTTTGCCTCTAAGGGCACAGGAAGCTTTCAAATGGTAAAACAAACTATAAAAACGAATTCTGTTTTCAAATGATTGCTATAGAAATCAGCCAACTGATTTAGCAGGGTAAATTGAAAGTAGCCCTTTCTGGCTGAAGTTAAAATGCATGCCTTTGACATAATAGGATGGCATCTTTGGGCTCTGATTCAACATCATGAGCCAGGTGATGGTAGAGAGAGGAGGAGGATTAGGAGTTTGTGGTGCTGGACAGGTATCCAGGAGCGTGTCCTTCGGAATGCTTCCATTGTTCAGGCAAGTATTGCAGCATCCAATGTAACAGCTCTAGATATTCCTCCTCTCGTGACTGATCCTGCTTCCATTTAAGTTGGTAGCAGCAGCCACCCACTCCTTTTCTGCAGGAACTGGATTGGACTGCTGAACAAACGAAGCTAGACTTTGTGCATATTAAAATGCTGCTTTGATTTTTGTGTCAAGCTGATTTCTTTTTCTCTGAAGCTGATTGGAAACAAACAAAAAGAAACTTGATAGCCATAGGTCTCTCAGGTTTTGTCTTAAAGAGCATTAAATACATCTCTAGGTGCTGATTTATTAAGAGTTGTAATTGTGTTCCTTTATACACCTGCTCTTTTTTAATGGGAAAGATGAAATAAAGATTTTCACAGGGGAAATAATGACATAAATATACCAAGTGCTCAAATTGTCTGCCTGAGAGGCATCAAGGACTTTGAGATAATGTCCTAATAGCAAGGAAGCACTCAAACTTCATATTCAAAATTTATTTTTTTAGCTTCCATGAAGTACAGCAGATTTTATGCAGTATCTAGTTTGAAGGATTTTGCCATCATTCACACAAGCTGCTTTTTGTTTTTCAATAAATATTTCATTGGGAAAACATTTTTTTTTAGGAACTCTGACTTTTTTCACACTGATGTAAAGCACTCCTGGCACAGTTCATCTCTGGCAGTGCTAACACTAGACAGATGATCCAAAGTATTTGTGACTATTTTTGCCTTTATGTAACATCTTAAAAGTGTAATCTGTCAAACAAGGAGAAGGCAGTACTTTGAAAGTGCGAGTAGTCTTCTGGTGATCTACTTCTCATAAGGGCCAGGTAGCAAGAGAGACACCTCCTTTTAACTCAGCTCTGTAGTGTAACTGGCTCACAAGGAGACAGCTCCAGTTGCAGTGGTTCCTAAACTTGCGCACGAATCAGTGCCAGAAATAGCAGCTTTCAGTTACCAAGTCCAAAGATCAGGAGTGTTTCAAAGGAGAGAGCAAGGTCCAGCTTCAGTGTAAGCAGGTTGGCACTAAGCAGAGATCTTTAGTCTTGATGAATCTTTTGCTAATTAGTGGTTTGTGGAAGATGAAATTCGCCAATCTGAGCACAGCGCTCATTTTCTTCAGGGGTGTATAATTGCATGTTTTCTGTCACTTCTTTTGATTTTTAAACTTTCATCAGTCAGAGAAACTGCTGTCATGAAGAGGTGCCTGTTTTCTGTAAATGGAGAGAGACTCTCAACACACGTTAGTTCTTTAATTCTTTTATAAACAGAGTCAATTTTTGTGTTTGCTGTAGTGGAGGCTTCAGGTTTGTTCAGCATTACCAATGCAAACACTATAACAAAAATAAGATAACAATGCTCGGCTGTTCAACACGAGTGGGGAGGGCAAGGCCCGTGAATGCTGTGCTAACGCTGCTCCTGGGTGTGCTCAAGTGTAGCCCAAGCTGAGGTCCAAAGCAAACGTGTGGCTGGGAGGCAGCAGAGGTTTAGTGGGAGAAACAGGCTTGTGTGTGTCACAGCAGGGTCCTGCCCTGTCTCTTGGCTGTGTGGGTATTAAGCTGTGTGTCACTGTGCAGAGCACAAACTGCACTGCCGCCACGTCTGCCTCCCCGATGGCCCCTGATGAGCGTGTCAGATGCTGGCTGTCATTGCTGAGCGGCCAGGAGGAGCTGTGAAGATGTGCTGGCTGGGACATTCCTGCAGCACAAAGGGGATTTTCGGGGTGGGGAAGGCCTGATGCGATGGGCATTTCCCAGGGAGAGTTGGGGCAGTCTCCAGGGGTGATGGGTGCAGCCTCAGAGCCTTCAGAACGGCCAAACGGAGCCACTGGGGGTGGGAAGGCTTGGAAGGACCGAAGAAACTGTCAAGTCACCAGAGAGCAAGTTTTTGGTTTTCGTGTGTCCCTTCTTTGAGGGTGGAGGCTCATCTAGCTCAGGTGAGACAGCAACCACCACCACATCAGTGACACTGGATTCAGGCTGCTGTAGTGAAATTAAAACCATGCTCAGAGCCCTGCGTTAGGCCAGGTCAGACCACTGCTCTTCGAGTGAGGGGCCACGTTTGGTACCCTCCTCAGCTTGGTGCATAAAATCAGAGGGGTTGCCATAGGACTGAAGTTCCCAACCTGTATAACATGATCAGTGTTTTGAGTACCATTGGTTTTAAATTTTTCCTTAATATCACAAATTTCACCTTAATATCACCCTGGAATTAAGTTTTAAGTGGCATTGAATGACATGACTCTCTGTGTAATTATTAGGAGCCAAAACCTGTTTACTTTGCTTGCACACCAGTAAGGTGTGAAAGCAAAGTAAAGTTTGTTTTCAGTGAAGTTGGAATAAAAATTGAATTCTTGGTATAGAGTACAGAGAGAGGAGTTCAAACATGGCTTGTTTTCTTTT